TTTTTCACTGGGCAAACTTAGAAGTTTGAGGCACGAAGCCGTCGGTTGGCAAAAACAAATAACTTAAGTTTGTGAAAGCTTTCACACCAGGTTGCTTTGGATGTTGAGGCGTGTGATGTTGTAGTTCTGCAAGAGCAAATAGCAAACCTGAACCACATCGACGTCACGTCGGACTTCGAGAAAGACCCCGTTCACGAGGCGATCGATGGTCTGTCAGCATGTCAGAGCACCCCAAGATTTGTATTTCCTGAATATCCACATGGATCTGAGCTGCGAGCTAACATGAGCTAACAATGAACTCCCAAAAGCCTAATGCATAAGATTTTCAAGGCTCTTCTAGCGCTCCTCCCATCTCACACTTCTCTTCAACTTCTAAAACAGAATCTCACTCCTCCCCTTCACCTCAATCACCACCTCTCAAACCACCTTTCCCAAGACTCCGAAGGCCCTCTCGGCCTGGGTCCCCCAGTGGGTGATCTCGCCGAGCCAATCGTGGCTCTCCGTCTGCTGCAGGTGACGCAAGATGGAGTCCTGCCACTCTCGCCAAAGACCGGCCAGTACCGGCACCGCGAACGGCAGTGGAAAGAACGACCGTGGAGGAAAGTATCGCCAAGCAATTCCATGCTGAACGGATGGAGCGAAAGACCAAAACCGCACCGACCCACGGAGCCCCGCTCCACTTTGGCGAAGTCCGCGGGCGTCTCGTAGCTGTGCCTGGCACGTCTCGGGTCAAAGGGGCGAGTCGTTCAACGGGTCACTGTCGAGAGGAGTCCGGGTCGCCCCAAGGGTCGCTGTTACACGCGTCTCGGATGCCGCACCTCTTCATGTCAGCCTTCATGGCGATCGATGCGCACGGAGGATGGCACGGGTCGGAAAGGATCTTCTTGGTCGAACAAAAACACCGCCGGTGAAGGAGAAAGGACGTGTTGTTTCTGGAAAGGTTCATTTGAACCGCTACACCAGAGTCGTTCGTCTCAGAACGGAGCGATTTGGGATTTGAACGATTTCGAGATGGGTCACAGTCACGCCATGGGGCTTGGCCCAAAGAAGATACCATTCGCACCATTGAGCCGTGAAGAGGAATGGTTTCTCACGTCATTTCTTTGACAAGTTCTGAGCCACTTTGAGCAAGCTGGCGGACACGGGGGTCGAGGGCCCTGTGGCAGCACAAGAAGCTCACGTGACTCACACGAGCCTATGCGGGTGGCATCAAACCGCGAACCGCTTGGTGATCGATGCAAATCTCGGTTTCAACAACTCAGCCCCACTCCATTCACCTGTCGACATGGGAAGCACCTCATCCACGTTCGCTGAAAAATAATCCCTCCACATGTCAGACGGTCGGAGGTGAACCGAACCGGATCGATGAAAACGCCCACCAGCCCGGTGAGCGAAAGAAAAGGTGCTCGGACCCGAGCGATTTGTGCGTGACTTTCGCCGGTTCTTCGGGTACAACAAGGTCCATCCCCAGTGGAGATGTTCATTTTTTTAAATGACATATTTGCTTGATTCCTACGAAGAACACCTCTTTCGCCCATCCAACCGTCCCTTTTTCGCTCTTGTTGAGGTCGCGTCAGAGATCTGGCAAAGCCAAGCAGTGAAACTGTGGCGTGCCACGCGCAACTGGCGCCTTCCTTTACAATGTCGTATTTCAGATCCTCTTTGAGGGGATGGCCAAGGAAAGGACAGCTCTCTCTGAGCCTTCAGGATTTTCGTTATGTTGCATTTTTTCTTTAGAAAAACTGGCACAAACACTGGTTATTGGACTAAGGAAGAATCATCTTCCAAATCATTTCCAATACCTTCCGTTTTTGTTTGAAGGCCTCTTTTGCTAGTAGGTTGGAGGCCATTGCTCGTCGGAAACCTTTGGGCTTGGCCTCGAAATCCCATTCCTTGGACCAGCCCCTTTTCGATCTGATCCGCACGTCGCAAGCTGGGCGCAGAGACTTTTTCCTCAGCGAGTCTGCCGGTCTTCGCAAGATATTTGTTTGCTTTGCGACGCGATGAAAGCACGCCATGGAAAAGATCCAATGAATCCAATCCGTGCTTTGCTTTTTCCCGTCGAAAGACAAACAGGAGTCCGTTGAGTACAACACTCAGCCGGCGGCCTCAAGTGTTTTTTGGGAGGCTTTCACAGGTCTGATTGGGCTGACGGCGGCCGAAGTGGCAACAGTTTGGGTCAATGCCTCAAATCCTTAGGACATCTTTGAGTCTGCGTGACTTCTGGTTCCTTTCATTATCCTTGACATGTAAAAAACACACACACACACACACTACACACAAACTGGGACACACAAAACATCAGCACCGGATAAAACGGCCGCTTTGTTGTAGCAGGACCGACAGATGCCGGATGCCTAGTTGAAAGAATCTTGTGCAGTTTTCTCACGTATTATTTTTGGGGTTACAACCAATAAACAATGATGGTTTCTATTGAACAAAAACTAGCCATCAACATGTCCCGTTGCTTTTCTCATTGTCCTCCGCCCAGCTGTGCTTTCGATCTTCGCTCTTCGCGCGGCTTCTTCCCGCCAAAACACGTCGTTCCCCCGAGAGGGCCACGCGCGGTGGCCACATGTTTGACCAGAGTCACCCGGCTCAGTTTCATTAACAATGGGGCACAGGACACGACATGGGGGATGCTGGAAGAACATATTCCAAAGAACTTCCACGCTTTTCTTTCTTCATTCTTCTTTGTAAATCCTCCAAAGAAATTTTCACCTTCAAGGGTAATCCCCCTAAATAGTTCACCAGGGATCTAGCGCAGAGAAACGGCGCTGGGGAGGTCAAAATAGGTGTCTTGTGTGGTGAAAGTCATGCGCCATACCTGCACGTGTTTGTCGTGCAGAAACCCGGTGTGTCTCATGATTTCCTGCAGTTCGCATTCCGAGCTTCAAGATAGAGAAAACCAATCAGGTCCGTGGTCCTGCCCAAGAGCTAGCTGAGGACAGCTTGAGGACGGCTTCATGTTTGCCCCCCAAAAAAGCTCCGATTTCTCGAGACCGATTCCCCACGTGGCTGGCGTGACGTGGATCTCGGGGGATCTGGATGCGGATGGTGACCAAAACGATTGAAAATTCGTCTCCCCGAGGCGGCGCAAACTTGGCAGGCTGCCCTTTTCATCGAGTGTTTTGGCAGCTTTCGCCTCGGGATCTCAGAGGTAGCCTCGCTGGGAGGTGCTCCACATTGGTTTTTCACACCCGTTTTGAGTAGCTCTTTCCTTCGAGGGTCATCCACCTCATCTTGGTCCGGAAGCAGACTTTTCAGAAAACAAAGAGGATCGAGCACATGGATGCAAAAGATGAGGACTTCACCAGATGGGCTTTAAACACATGCCAGGGTGGGGCGAGTGGAGTGAGCGGGTCGGGTTTCAAACCGAAAACTCTCGTCTGATCTTCCTCCCAGCCGAGGCTAGGTCCATCCAGGCAACACCTGGAAACGTCTCACCGATCCTGGTGCAACAAGCAAACCATGATGTCATCTGCATGGATACCGAAAGAAACCCCGAAAAAAGACTCGGAACGGACTTGGAACAGCAAGGTGGTCTGTCTATTTTTGTGTTCCATCTTGCAGGAAAAAACAACCGTTGGATTCTGTCCAAGGATTCTTGGGATGGTGACCTCCACCGGCCTTGGCATGGGTTCCAACGCTCGGTTCGACGCTCAGTGAACATCCACACTGCGCGAGGGACGCTTCACAAAGCGGCAGACTTCTGCACATGCTGAAGAGCTTGCCATCTTTCTAGGAACGGGAGGTTCCATTCGTTCCATTTTCACAGGACTGTTCCAGGTCGCTTCACTTCCGCTTTTCTGGGGGGGAAGTTGTTTGCAAAGACCTCCGGAGCAAGCAAGGATGTACCAAACAAAGACCTCTGGCCTCCAAAGACGCCTGGCCTCCACGGATCTATACGTGTTTCCTTCGAATGGGCGCCGTCGCGACGCTTTCCTTTCTCTTTGCTGTGTTGGACCTTCTTCTGGATCGGTGTTGACCAGCCCGCTGCGGCGCCATTGAGCGCTGCGATCGGGAATCTGGGCAGGGCTAGACCTCGATGAAACGGGTACTCCCGATCACCCCCCCTCTGAGCAGGGCTAGACCTCACCTCTTCTGCTTGGCCGTTTTTTATGGAAACAGTGAAACACCCTGTTCTCCTGTTGCCATGTTCATTCTCCACCACAAGCTGGCCACCTTCCGGCTTCCGGCGCGGACTGGCCCGAATGACTTGGGGTGCAAGACACCAAACCAAAAGGGTCCCCAAACCAGCGTTTCCACCACCTCACCATCTGTTTCTTCTTTCGTAAGCACACCAAAACCACCTCTCTGGACGTCCCGCGCCCGGCTCAATAGTGTGGGGTGTCGCGTGTGGCGTGTCGTGTGTTGGGGGTGTCGGGAGTTGGGTCAAGTCATGTTTGGATCCACTCACATGGCACCTGAGCCTCTCTTCTTTTCGACGCGCCAACAAGACGCGACAGCACAAGACCTGATTTCTGGACCAAAAATCCGAAGACCAAAGCGACCAAGCCGATATAACTCGTGGTCGGTGTGTCGACCGGAGTTTAAACCGTTGCTTTCTGGTGGGTGGAGCAACCCCATTTCACAGAACGACACTCGTTCCTCGTTCAGTCTTGAACAGTCTCCGAAGCTCTCCCAGAGCCCGAAAAAAAGGGTCCCCACCAGACATGGAGTGCCAGGGTCTGTGAAGTCCAAAAAACCTGAATGTTTGTGAGTACCAGCCGTCGACCAAACCAATTTCTTCCACACTCGCACTAGACTCACTAGACTAGACCTCTCATCCTACCTACCGGTCCTTCCTTTGAACTTCCAGGACTTGGCCCTGAAAAAACTTGACCGATTGTGACGGGTTCTGGAACCCCCTCACCAGCTGGTGGAACATCTGCTCCGTCGGCCTCGGCCACAGCCACGTGAGTGGATCGAAAAAAGAGGCACCACACAGCGCCCGCGCGTGGTTCACGGCGCGGCTTCGGAGACGTTCACGGCGGGGATCACCACGAAAACTCACAGTCCTCCACCTGGCGCGATGGATGTTGAAGGGATGGCGGATGAACGAAGCGAAGTCACCATCTGAGGATTTTTTGTGCCAAGTGTTTTTGAAGTTTTGGTGAGAAAATGGGATTGGTGGGTCAGCGTTGGGACTAAAACATATAGAGTTTGAGCAATGTTGGTAGCTTTTGGATGGTCAAAACACATAGCGGTTTTGGGTGGTTGGAAGTTCCAAGAGCCGAGTAAATGAGTAAAGACTGCCACTGAACGTGCCACCAAAGGCAGAAGGCACTTCTTTGCAAGGCCTCTTTGTCCGACTTGGGGTTCCATAGACTGGCACTTGTTACATGAGAAAAGAAGCTACTAGTGACAAGTGCATCGCTTCTAGTAACAAGTGCCTTACTGGTAGTAACAATGTTTGCTATTAGAAACAAGAAAACAAATAACCATAGACCCTCCACCAGCAACTTGGAATCCTTTCAGACTGGCTCCCGACCCTCCATGGACTGGGGACCACCTGGCTGGCGTGGTCCGGATCCGAAGAACCCTCTGGTCCCCTGCTCCAAGGCACATCACCACCTTCCGAAAGGTAAGGCCCTTGGCAGTTCTGTTCTTGACACCTGTCAAATCATGTAAACATGTACACACCAATTCCACCGAATCACATCACACCTTCCAATCCAACCGAAGCAACGCCGTCGGCCATAGCTATGGCACGGCCTCGATGGGCCACAGATCCACCGCCTCTTGGCCGTAGCCACACGTGGCCAACCTGAGGACGAACGTCTCCAAACGTCTCCAGAGGGGCCTTTCCCTCCCTTTCCTGCTCATCTTCGAGGGGCAAAGACCACTCCATTTCTTTCTTCTGGAGTCGATCGAAAAAAACGAAAGTGCCAACCACTTTGGTCACCGCGTCCATCCTGGGCCAGCCACCATCGGCTGTCCATGCTGAAGGCGAGGCCACAAAGCCTGCAGTCGCCGGGGTTTGCCCCAGCATCGCCCCGGGCAGTCGCGAGAGTGGCGTCTCAGCCTTCCAAGGAGAACGCTTGGAACAGGGCCGTAGGCCGTAGGTGTTGGATATAGAGCAATCCTTCACATCTTGCGTGGTGGAGCATTTGGGAGTTCGAGGTGGGGATCTGCCAGTTCGACCAAGGCCAAACGCACCGAGAGAAGGCTCAGTTTGCTTGCTCGCTTTGTTGGACCCGATCCAAGAATGGAGCTCGTCCAGAATCTGCAGCAATCTACCAAAAAGAATCCGAATCCTCTCTTTGCCCCTCATAGATCCGCTGGAACCATCTTGAAACATGAGGGATTTAGTTATAAACCATGATTTTTCACTATAGTAACAAGAAGCTACTAGGAACAAGTGCATCGCTTCTAGTAGCAAGTGCCTTACTAGTAGTAACAATGTTCGCTACTAGGAACAAGTGCATCAAGCGGACCCACGTCCACCACGTCCATCACCTGAGCTTCCCCACCAATCCTCCGCCTGGCCCGTCTCCACGTGTCTCCGGTCCGGGTCCGGTGGAGTGGTGGACTTGGGGGACGAATTGGGTGACCCGGTTCCGGAAGGATGTCCCATATGGAAGACGTTGTCCTTTTTTTGGAGCAGAACCTGGCACATCCTGGTGAGTACCTGGCACATGGACCTATGAATGACCTAGTTACTAGTTTGGAGCAGGATCTGCTGATGGTGCAGCAAGTTCATCTAGAGTCTAGAGCTTTCTTTTCATTCAACGATCTTGATCGCGTACTCTCCGCAAATGAATAGACTGACCAAAGCTGAATGCCGAACTAAGCAGGGTTTGTTCCAAATGCGGAGAATACGAACTATGATGCACAAAAGCGAAGGATTGAGAACGCACAGAGTTATTTATCTTTTTAAATAAGAAGCGTTGGAACCCAAGCATCATGATACGGTCGGTAGTGGCACAGCCTTACCTAACTTTCAAGTGACCCAGGACCCAGACTGAGAAGAATTCACAACATCGAATGCAATTGCAAGTTCATGCCACGCCCAACTTCTCAAAATGATTCATTCGATTTCATTGGTAAAAAGAGCCGACCTCATGCCTCGGCATTGCTCACACTCAAAAAGGACTCTTCACGGACCCACAGCATGGGCCCCACTTCAGGACAGTCAGCATCACCGAAGACCACACGCGTCCCTCGATCACATACTCGAACGGGTCGTTCGCTTTTGAAACAGACCGTCGCTCTGATCAAAGAGCCCTTCAGCACTGACATCAGGTCAGTTCTGCATCTGGGAGAAATGATGCAAATCTGCCATGAAGGCACGTAAAAGTGCCGTTCATTTGTCCAAGAATGCACCGCATCAGTGTCACCTGCGCGAGTTGATCATCCTCTACCACTTGTTCTCACTCATGTAGTGTGAGATGAGCTCTTTCGGACCAGTCACTGGCACCTCTGAGGGTCCTGTGTGTACTGTCCTCAAGGACATCGTCCCACGTTCCCTGACCGGTGGGGTCGCGTCAGCCGGACCGTCCCCGGGCCTTCGGCAAATGAAGCACCACCCGCTTGAAGAGGACCTCAAATCATAGCGATGGACCCGCATGTGTTGCTTGGAGCACACCAGAGGGGGCCTGTTCTGTTGGAATTTTGGAAGTAGGATGGTGCCAGGGATTGATTCACCTAGAAACGAGATTGAACGATTCTTCAGCTGAAGTGCGGTCCAAACATGGCAACCAAAAAGTGATCAAAAATGATGAGTTGCTTTGATGGATTTCTTTGCCAAGTCCTGCAAAAGGAGGACATTCAGCCCCTAGTCTCTCCCAAAAACACATGTTGAGATGAGGATTGTTTTTTTGACGTCTCCTGCTTCTAAACCTTCCATTCTGAAAACCCTCGCTTCTGTCTGCCCCGAAAGCTGTCCGGAGTCTGGTACCTCGATGGAACGGACAAACCACCAACTGGTCGTTGGAGCAATTCCATTGATCGGTCGTTGGTCGATGCTTCGAGGCTTCGAGGCATCGCGGCGGCCGAGTTCAACCGGGCATCCCGGACATCCCACACGGAGACACGCATGTCCTGGCGAGGGATGCGTGAGAACGAACCGAAGCCACTCTTCTTCGCCACGTGAAGAAGAAAGCTTCCGAAAAGGCTGGGATGAAGATGCTGCAAAAGCTTGAAGAGTCGCCAAAGAAACCTGTATAGGAAAATGTCACACGTATGTGCTTTGAACACTCCGATTCATTTCTTTCATTACTTTCATCTATGTCCTTCTTCCAAAATCTTCATCCAAAAACATACAGAAGGAGCTCAGCCCAATGCAAACCCTAGACTCATCCAAACCACCACCCAACCCACTCATTTCACCTCAAGCGCTGCGATTCGCGCGGCGATTCGCGCCTCGCCGGCGGAGGCCAAGAGCCGGGAATTGCGGGTCCAGGCCAAGGTGCGAATCCCGGCGCCGCAGAGCAGCTCCTCCACCTGAGAGCTGGTCGGTCCACCGACGGACTGGACTGGGACTGGTGGTCGAAGCGGTTTCTGTTTCTGTCGAAACTGGTGGAAGTTGGAGTTTCCACAGTGGTCCACAGATGTTGGCGAGCAGCTTGCTAGAGGGAACAGCTGCTGGAAGAACACTTGAAGGATCTTGGATTCAACTCACTACCAACAACGTACTACTGTTGCCGCAAAGATTCTGCCGTCCATGCTGCCAACAGCCTCCAACAGCTGTTGACAGCTGTCAGGTCTCCCTTCAGATTCACCCAGGTCTTCACTCACAGATGTGTCACTCCTTCACTTCTTACTTGCTTCTTGCCACTAGTAGCGATGGCCTCCAGCATAGCGTCCTCCGTCACCTTTTCTACTCCCTCCCTCGTGTCGCTTCACTTCGCTGCACACCTGTTACTACTAGCGTGGCACTTGTTTCTACTAGCTTATTGTTACTACTAGTAAGGCACTTGTTACTAGTAGCGATGCACTTGTTACTAGTAGCTTCTTGTGCCTTCTCAAACTTCTTCCCCACCGAGAGAATGGAAATCGTCCGGTCCTGCGAGGAAAGAGGGAGGAATTCGCTTTCAAATTTACGGCCATTTGAGAGGTCAATTTAGGCACTTTCTGGTTCGTTTTTAGAGGTAAAGTTGCATTTTGTATTTTGCTATTTGGGATCTCTTGTACTCTTAGGATGGGGAAGAGGCTGACCTTCCGTCCGCAGTGACCTTGTGAACGGTGGGGCCATGCCGTGTTAAGACTGTATCATACTGTATCCATGATGGCAAGACCCCTTGCAGGTTGGTACGAAAAACACTTGTAAACCGCAAACCACAACCGTCAATCTGGAATGGGCACAACCTTCAAAATCCAAATTTCAAATTCGATTAACGAGATGCTCCCAACTTCCCCGGGCGGAGAGCCACCGCTGAGGTGTGCACGGTCTATGGTCTATGATCGTTTTTCCAACATGTTTTGAACAGTTCTAACGGGGAAGGGTAACGGTTGGCGTTTGTTCATGTCTTCCGAAAGAATGTGCAAACAGCCCTTGGAGTCCTTCAGGTCTTTCCTTCAAAAACATTCTTTCGAGGTTGACGTCATCAAAGCTAGGAGTAGATGTTGCGGATCCCGCCTTGCCCCAGATTCATTCTAGGGACAATCACCTAAGCTGGAGGGGCAATCCAGGATTTGTCCAACGCTGTTTTTACCACAAAACGGAGCAATCATGAACAGATCGTCACATCTTCTGACCCACTTATACTTACTCTTATGTTAGCCGTGTCTGTTTTCAGATCACCTTGCTTCTTCTCATCACCTTCCGTCCTCCCCAGCCAAGGCCAAGCATTGCCCCGAGGGCGAGAAGGCCGCGGTGTGGCAGAAGTCCTCGACCATTCGAGCTCGATCGACGGGAATCGCAGACGGCTTTTTTCAGAGACCTTGAGGGGTTCGGGTTTGGGCGAGGTATGACGACGGGGTTTTCACGGTTTTCACGGTTTCATTCCAAGATCCTTACAAGACGAATGAACACTCGTGGAGTGAGCGCTTGGAACTCTGTGTAGTCCGTGTTCGCCGGTGTGAATACACTGGCCCACCAAAGTCAGGTCTGAAGCTCTGTTAAAAACACGAGGAGATTTCGCACATGGAAACATGGTCAGTGGCGATATGGTGCTTTTGGTCCTTTTTTTGGGTTGGCAGGTTCAGGTGTCAAACACACTGAAGTGAACAGTTTTGAGTCTACACTAAAAACTGCTTAACACCGTCTTGCCTTGGATGGAGCTTTCGGAAAGTGATCAACACTTCCGCCCAGCGGCTGTTCCAACATCAGGAGCCTTTTCAACCAACAAAACCAATTCGATTTCTGGAAAAACATCTCTTGCCATAACTGGACACGGTATTCACCACATACCGGACACTGCTTTCGAACGGCCGTCTCCGTCCTCACCCCTAAGGCCGGCCTCACCCCTCTCGTTTCCCGCTCTCCTGGAGGTTCACGGTCTTCACCTCGTCCCAAAGCCCCGCCAGCTCCGTGGACTTCCACACCATCGCCTGCGCCCGACCGAACGCGACCGACGGGGAAAGGGAGGAAGGCCACGCCGCCCATGCTGGCGATGGGCGGTGAGAGAGGTATGACCCGAAAAAGAAGGGCCGTGCTGCGGTGCGGTGCGAGAGAAGTACGTCCCTTCTTCGACTTGTCAAAACTGAATGAGTTCTCTCCAGGGGATGTTTTCTTGTATGGTTGTTGTTGGAACATGTTTCAACAACTCTTTTTGGCAGGAAGTGATCACCACTGTTCGTTCGCTGCATCCCAAAATGCGACCAACGACGAACTTGAGGCGACGGAGGTGGACGAAAGGTAGAGGTTGGAAGATTCTGAGCAGGAGCAAGCAGCCAGCAGCAGCAGCAGCAAACCAGCAAAGCAAAAAGGTAGTAGAAAAGGCAGCAGCAGCAACAGCAGCAGCAGCAGCAGCAGCAAACAAGCAGCAGCAAACGAGCAGCAGCAAACGAGCAGCAGCAAACGAGCAGCAGCAAACGAGCAGCAGCAGCAGCGGCGGCGGCGGCAGCAGCAGCAAAGCACCAAAGCTCACAAGTTTGGCCTCCACAACCCTTGGTTTTCGTTCAGTTTGGGGTTGCGCAGACGAAATTGGAGGGTGGAGACTTGTGGTCGAGGGCGAAAGAAAGGAACTCTCAGATCAGCAGGTGCCAATTCCTTGGAGCAAAGCGATTGGTGGTTGGTGCACATCCGGTGCGAACGGGTGAGTTCCAAGGGCAAGGAGATCGTGTCAACATCTGATGCAGCTGCGGCCAGGTATGCGTCGTATTCGTGCAGTGGTGGCATGATTGGACCAGCAACTCCTGCATGAAGAGGTTCATGGAGGAATCTCACCAGCAGAAGCAGCATCAGCGCTTGCTACACGAGCTGCACAATGCGATGGTCTTCGTTTCGAACCCATGTTATCAAAATCTTGTGGAGGGATTTTATCCAGGCCTTCTGGCAACGTATCAGCAGGAGGTGAAGTTTCGTTCACTGTTCTGGAATGATTCGCTGCTGAAACCAAAGCAAGAGGTGGCGTTTTCGCCGCTGAAGATCAAGCGTCGGCCAGTACCACAACATGACTCCAGCAATCATGAACGCCTTGAACATTGGGTCAGAGCCAGATCCATCACGTCCGAAGTCTTTTGGCTCCTCGATCCAGGGTGTATCAACAGCCTTGCGCCAAGCAAAGCGCCGAGGTCTCAGCAAAGTGAAGGAAGAGCAAGATGCTGCGGCGACTGCTGACGACGCTTAGGAGAGCACACCACCAGGTGGGTCGACGAGCAGCCCTCCGGATGTGTGGGGGCAGGCTGGGTGTTCAGTCAGGCATCTGCTCGCCAACGGCATGCTGCTGAGTCAAAGAAGAAGAAGAAGAAGAAGAAGAAGAAGGACACGCGAAAGTCGCGCAAGAAGAACAAGCTGGCGAAGGTCAGGCAGGTAAGCAGCAGCAAGCAATCTGGAAAGGGTGCCTCAAAGGCCGCTATTCGCAAGAGCAAGGCCACTGGCGGAGCTGAACTTGTAATGAAGGAGAAGGCTGGATCTGTGCCGAAGCAAGCAGATTCGTCTCAGCCCAGTCAGAGGAAGAAGAGCGACGGTCCTAATTGCTCAGCAATTGCCGCGTTCGAAGCTTGGTGCGACAGCGGCGCACCAAGAAGTCGAAGGGGGTCGAGGCGCTATACTGGCGACTTGCGACTGGAGATGAGCCAAAGGCCTGAGGTGAACCTGAACCGCGGCTTCAACGCTTCAACTGAAGCTGAAGCTTCCTCAAAGGAATGGTCACCAAGGGTGCATAGTAGATGTCTTTTTGAGGGTTGAACACTAAGAGATTGGACAGATTTGGGTTGGCAGACATCTCGAACGTTTGATTGTGTGGTGGCATGAGGTTGTGGTTGAACATCTTTGTTTTGCGCTCAAGCTGCTTTCAAGCATACTGTGCTCAGATGCTTTTGTGTGATCGACTTTCTTGCATTTGGAGGGATGGCAGCCGCAGCTCATACTACCTCTACCGCAATCCCTGCAGTGAATGGGGTTCTCTTTGCGGGAGAAGGCCTGTAGGGAGGTCGCTCAGCAGACAGCCTCGAGAAGGATTTATTTGAATGGTCAATTTCTGGAGAAGTGAACCCAGGAAACCTGATCTTGGAGCATTCTGGTCCCTACCAGGAAAGACTTTGGTCGAGTTGAGGGCAAAGCGCCAGGAGCGCCTTGAGCACTTGCGAGCCCGAGCTTCCCTGTTTTCATTGTACTTGGAGAAAATCATTATTCTCCAGAGTGGGCCTGCGGAGGGAGAAGAAAATTCTCACAATCGGATGTCCAAGACTCGAATGTGGACATGCCCACAGGACCAGACCATCGATAGATTGGTAGATACCACCCGTAACAGCAAATCATAAAGTAAATGTTTGGTGTTCCAGGGTTTAGTAACCATGAAAGTTCGAGATTATGGATTTTAATGGTGCACCGGGTCTAGAGTCTAGAGGTTGCCGATCATTTTAGACATCATAAAAGGGATAGGGCCTTCTGTCCTCCAAAACGCCCAACGCCTCACGACCTCGGCTGGCCTTCATGTTGCGGTTTTCCTTGGCACTGTAGTCCAAAAGGCCATCGGTGAGATCCATGCCTGCGCTGTCCACAGAGAAACATCACCAAGAGAACCAGCAGTTTTGGTCTTGTTTGGTACGTGTGCGAAGTCACATGGTCTTCGGAACACAACATAACGGCCGGGCACCGCAATTCCAGCATCTAAGGGGCGGATTGGCGGATCAATGCGGGTGCCGGTTGACTGAACTTTCTCAGCACAAACCAATGGAAACACACCCTTTCAGCAACAGCACACCGTAGAATTCTGGATTCCAAGAAAGGTTTCCCAGCAAAAAGCTCCCGCATCCTTCCCGCCAGAAAACTCATCTTTCAAACCGGTAGAGGCCGGGACTTGCTTAGTCAATGACTTCTACCAAACTATTGCAAAGGGTGACTGAATGTGAGTTGACTGTGCAAAGGCATGCGTATACAAATGATGTGACGGTCATGGTCAAGGTCTGCCTCCGGCGGCCGCCAGCATCCCAAGAGACGGGGCGAAGCTCAGGCTATGCACCTGGCACCGCGGTGCGCGGTGCGTCCGGTGCCCTGCGCGGTGAAAATGAAACGAGCGCTGGGTCACCCTAGTGGCGAAGGTTTTGACCGCCCTAAGAGCGATGGTCAACCCGAAGGCACCTTAAAGTCCTGGCACGATCTTCCACCGAAGATAACACCCAGCGACAGTTTGGCCGAAACGTCTGGTCCCAGGCGTCCGAGGTTTTCGGTAGCCAAAGCCTGCAAAAAAGAACCCACAACAATTTGGGCAAATGACATGTTTCGTGACCTGGGGATAAATCAATCATTTGCGTTTTATTCCTTTAAAGTTCATATTATACCTGCATCAAGGCTACTGCATTTCTTGACAGCATGCCCCCAAAGCGTTCTCTTAAACTGAGCACGTTTGGCACCCCTATTTCAATCCATAGTGAAAGCCCTCACTGAAGGAATGTACAAACCATCTATTTACGAAGTCCTGACCTTTGGAGATGCTCACCAGCCTCTGTCTCAAAACGGGTGGACACCTACGTAAGCTCGCAGTTGGCCTATGTTGGTTCATTCACCTTCCCTGTGAAGTTCTGTCTCAAAATGAGCTGACACTAGTAGATCACAGATCACCACAGATCACCAGTGGCATACTCTAACATGGACCTTGGCCACTTTGAAACTCGACACGCACCCTTTCTGCTGACAAACCTGTGATCTCCAAAAGGCGGACCGAAAACCCTTCGCCTGCCGCTGGCCGACCACGCCACCCGTGCCGCGCGTCCACCGTGACGTCACCTGACCGCCATGCTGCAGGGACGCCACCTCTTCGAGCCGTGGCACCTGAGCAGACGATGCAGTTCGCTACGAACGGGCCAGGAGCCTGGCATCGCTACGACCGGAGCGATCGGACGCCACTAGGTTTGAATGCTATTTCAAGCAAAAAACCCCATCCCATCCAATTGAACGTGTAAGCTCAGTCCATGAAGACTGCTGTCAGTTCGACATTTCACCAGTCAGTGTGCCGGGAGACCCACCACAGAGGGTCGTAGACTCTTCAGAACATGCTGGATGGCTCTATCATGCTCTATCCATCGGCACTCACCTTGGCACAACGCTTCATTACACCAGCATAGACCCAGATAGCTAGGCAGAATCCTACGACCTGTTGACACGCGGCTGGCTGGAACAAGAATGCGCAACTGATGGCTCAACGGACGGTGTGTGGAAAAGGGGGGTCAGCCAAAATTGCAAATACGAAGTTAGTGCATCAAAAATACTTTCTACGAAGTTCTACGAAGGTTTCTGGGATTTTGTTGCGGTCAGTTTTCCTGCTGGCCCACGATGTTAGTAGAATAGTTTTTTGCAAAACTTTTTCTGTGCACTGCCCTTCCGTTTGCCTCTGAACAATGCTTACGCACCTCCAAAGCGCGCGCAACAAGCTGACACCAGCGCCGGCACCCTGTCTTGACAATGCGCATTGCCAGCTGACAACACCGGCAGCGGTACCAGCACCCAACCAGCACCGCCGCGCGTGCGCAGCCAGCTCACAGCACCAGCGTCAGCACCCAGGACCGCAACACCAGCACCAGCACCGACACCCTCTCGAAAGCGCGTGCGGCCAACTCATTCTATTTGAAGAAAGAGCCCCATAGCTATTGCTATCTGGTGAATAACAACCATATGATCTTGCGCGTATAAGTTTATCTGCGCAAAAATATGCGCGCAAACAACAAAGCCCGTAGGTTTTACTCGCCCCCTTGAAGTGCAGATTTTGTGGCAGGTGCAGCATTTGGTGAACCTCGAAGTGCAGATTTCCTGGCAGGCGCAGCACTTGGTGAACCTCTATGTGCAGATTTCGTGGCAGGCACAGCACTTGGTGAAAATTGAAGTGCAGATTTTGTGACAGGTACAGCACTTTGTGAACCTCGAAGTGCAGATTTCGTGGCGGGCGCAGCGCTTGGTGAACCTCGAAGTGCAGATTTCGTCGCAGGCACAGCACTTGGTGGACCTCGAAGTGCAGATTTCGTGGCAGGCGCAGCACTTGGTGAACCTCGAAGTGCTGATTTCGTGGCAGGTGCAGCGCTTGGTGAACCTCGAAGTGCAAATTTCATGGCAGGCACAGCACTTGGTGAACCTCGATGTGCAGATTTTGTGGCAGGCACAGCACTTTGTGAACCTCGTGGCAGGCACAGCGCGTGGTGAACCTCGAAGTGCAGATTTCGTGGCAGGCGCAGCAGTTGGTGAACCTCGAAGTGCTCTCAGCTCACTCTCTCACTCTCCCACTCTCACTCTCCTACTTTCACTCACACTCACACTCCCTCACACTCTCACTCTTCCACTTTCACTCACACTCCCTCACACTCTCACTCTCACGCACACTTACTCTCACCCACACTCACTCTCACCCACACTCGCACTCACCCACACTCGCACTCACACTCACTCTCGCACTCCACTCACACTCACTCTCACTCTCACTCACACTCACTCTCACCCACTCACTCACACTCACTTCACTCACTCTCGCTCACTTACACTCACACTCACACTCACTGTCACTCTCACTCACACCCACTCACTCACACTCACTTCACTCACTCTCGCTCACTTACACTCACACTCACACTCACTGTCACTCTCACTCACACTCGCTCTCACTCACACTCGCACTCACACTCACTCTCCCACTCTCACTCACATTCACACTCGCTCTCACCCACACTCACTCACACCCACCTTCACTTCATCACCACCATGCCATCACCTCTCTGGACCCCAATGCATCTAGATCTCTAGACTTCCTGCTTACAGACCTCACACACACACACACTGTTTGGGGTCTCTTGCCGGGATATATATATATATATATATATATGTGTATATTTATTTATTTTTTACCGTTTTTGACGGGAGGGCGCCCCTTTTTCTTCTACCATATCCACGGTAATAACGGTAAAAGTCGAAACTTTTCTTTGTTTACCGTTTTTACCGGGGGTGCGCCCCCTTTTCAATACCATGTCCGCGGTAAAAAACGGCAAAAATTGACGCGGCCGCGGCCGGGGTGGTGCGGGCGTCGTGCTCGATGCTCCGGAAGACCTTGGTGCTGCCGGGGTGCAGGTGGCGCTACAGAAGCTGGTGCCACCTGTGGTGGGTGCTCTGCCTGGGATGCTGCATCTGGCGCTGGGGGTGCTGGCGTTGTAGCCTGTGCTTCACCACGAGCTGGAGCGTGTAGCACCTGCATGGCCTCTCGCTCCATTTGCGCTGACAGTGCATGTGACCGCCCAACCCTACGAACCAAGTCCTCCCAGCTTTCTTCCCCCTGAGACAGCACGGTTGGCTGAGACAGACTTGGTGCTGCTTCTTTTGCCTTGCGGGCTAAGTCTCAGCAGAAGCTGGGGTTGGATGAGGAATGGCCCCCGAAACTGGTACTGAAGGATTCCCCAAGTTGGGTCTGCCTGAGATTGCCGGGCATGCTGCTGAGGCCGACGACGTCGCTGCAGGCGAATTCGGAGCTGATCTCGTGGGGCCCCCAGGTGATGGTGAAATTGCTGGGGATTCCGGCCAAGACGGCGCCGACTACTCCACTGAACCAGTAGCTGATCAACCAGGCGATGGGCGTGGCGATGCCTTCGTACTCGAAGAATTCCACGGTGTCGAAGACGGTGCCGTTGTAGAATCCACGGGCGCTCTGGCGTTCACTGCAGCAGTTGGCGCCGTAGAGGACCCGGGCGGCGTCGCTCGCACCGGCGCTGCAGCTGCTAAAAAGTGCTATTGCAGGGCTGTGGGGGGATTAATTGGGGCTCAAAAACAGCTGGCCCCATACGGGCGGCTTGTAATTCTGCATCGGCCCACATTCGATCGAGGTCTGTGCCACAAGGCCGCTTGCCGTTCAGCAATTCTTCTAACTCCTTTTGTTTATGCGCCACGAGCGTGTGAGCATTGTCCATCACCTTGCGTAGGATCCGCTCGGCTTTTTTCAAATCAGCTTCGCTGATACTTAAGGGTTCCATCAATTTTCTCGACAACGTCGTCATAATGGACCACGGCCTCTGTAGCCAGAGCGGCTAAGGTCGAAACCTCTCTGAAACGCTGAACCTGATGAGCCATGAGTAACTATGACTCTGACTGACTGCGCGCCTTGTTGCCGCTTGAGCCTAATAATTATAAGTCTCGTCTCATCTCGAAGCTACGGTAACAACGACAAAAAAACCATGCTAAGCTGGTCTGCTGTTGCGCTGTTGCTTTTATCTCGCCAGCGTGTGTTTCCTGCCTGGCCTGGCCTGTCCGTCACTGGTTTCGCTATGACAACTGACAGCGTTTCCTGACAAACAGACCATGACAAACAGTCTGCCGCGCATCATTAATTTTTATTCTGACTGGCCGGCTTCCTGATGGAAGAACGCCGATTTGGTTTCGGCTTATTTGGCTTTGCCTTTGCCCGTCGACGACGAGGATTTGCCGCTGCAACGTTTGTCAGCCATTTCTGCGGCACGAGCCTCAAAGCCACCATCTCCCCTTCATATTTAGGACCCAAACCGTGGTAGATAGCCACAGCTGCTGTTGGGCATCCTGAAATGCAGGCTTCCACACCATTGTCTTCCAACATTGCTTGGGCAGTCGGGTATGTGTCACTCCTGCACCAGTGAAAGGCTATCGTGCACCCGCAGGTGATCTTCGAAAGTTGCTGGCTTGAAGCCGGCCGGCCCTCGATCGTCTTCAAGCCCTGGAAGATCTGGCGGGCAAATTTCTTTGACATGGGAAGGCTTACGGAAGGCAACGCCGGCGCTGCAGCTGCTGAGGACGCAGTGCCTGTGGGAGACGAAGCACCTAATGTGGCTTCTGGGACCACCGTTGATGCTGCAGCTGACGCCATTCTCGCCGACGTCGCTGCGGGGGTACGCCGGACGCGATGAGTTCTAAGCGGGACGAGCTCGCACATCCTCTGCTCCTTAGCAGACCTGTGCCAAGTCGCGAGCGCCCATAGACCATGACACACCAATGCCACACCGTCTCTTCCCACCCAGGTGGAGTTCGATCCAAACCCTTCTCCACTCCGCGTAAAACCACCCCGCTTCTCTTCGCCACGTCACGGTGAAGATCTTCACCACCGCCGTGGAACCCACCTGAGACCGGCGGGTTGGCTTTGGGGGTTTCTCCCTGAACCTGAGGAGGGTTTCCCTCGCATTTCTGGCGCATCCGTGGTGATACATCCGATGGTGCAAGAATACGATTGATTCAGCTACACGGTACGTGAGGGACTGTCGGTTTCATTCTTTGGGGGAGTCCGTTCTTGCTCGGTTTGACGGGCAGCCCCACACCTGGGTGTTTGAGCAACGACTCTGGTGCCTCTGGTGCTTATCTTATTGACATCCTCATGAACACACATATATGTCACAATTGTGGAAAAACACCGGTGAGATCTGAGGCTCAAGAGACTAGCCATACTTGTAAGTCCCAAGAGTCTGGTGCGGCCTGTCGTTCTGACTTTGGACCGAAAACACAGAGTCGAAACATGCCAGTTGGAGGGAACATGCTCTCTTCACCTACGGATGTTCCCAAGCTTTCTGGTTCCGACTTTGGAGCACCGGAACAAAGGAAACACAAAAGGGACCCCAAACCCAAAATCCGAAGGCACTCCCGTGTTCCATATGGATGAAGAACTCTTCCACACTCCTGTTGCGTGCCCTTGTGATGTTCCTTCTTTTTTTGCCGAAAAAAAACCACGCTTCGGTTCACCCTGGTGGACCACCAGGCGGACGGACTCGGCGTCAATCGGGGCTCCGTGCCGCCAGGAGGGTGGTCGGCGTACTGATGCCCTGCCGGTGGACGCGGAGAGGCTGCCGGGTGGTGACACCCTGAAGAAAAACGGGTCCCTTAAAGAAAAACGTCTGAAAGGACAAAAAGGAGAGGAACATGGGCGTTCCCATGGTCAGTTCCCACGACAGAAAGCCGGAGGGGTGCGTTGGATGGGGCGTCTCTCCCTCTCACCGAGCTGGACGAAATCGAGTCGATCAAATGGCTCCCCTCGGCACAGGATCTTCTCAGGATCTAAGACATCCCCGTGGGAAGCAGGCCGAAATTGTGGTATGTCTCAACTATGTTTGCCTGGACAAAAATAAAGGTGAACCGAACTTTCCACCTGTTGCACCATCAGATTCAATCTGTACAGCGAGAGATTGTCGACCCTGAACTGGATCAAAGGTCAAGTTGAACAAGAAAAGGGTGAGAGCACCCACCCAACGAGAGTTGGCATCTGTCAAGCACAATTGGGAGGCGGCCACCTGTTGGATTTTGGGAAAAAAACACTACCCAGGAAAGGTTAGAGGTGACCCTCTGACAGGGTAGGGGTCTATCTGGGGATCAGGGACTAAAACAAGAACATGAAGGCCATGTTTACCAACTCCGGCCATGTTCTTCAACTGGCTCCAGGTGAAAATCAGCAACCCGGGTGGGGATCTGATGAATTCCAATCCCGAGATTCTGGAACCAACATGATCTTGCTCACCACTCACCTACTTCTGGGTCAATTCCAAAATGATTGCTCGAGACGGATGGTCCTCCATTTAGCCAACATCTTCTTGGTCTCGCAGTAGGAATGATGTGAAGGCAACGCATCCCTTAAGAAACCGTGTGTTGGACGCCATGCCGCTGCTACAACCTAAATCATCTACTTTCGGCTCTAGGTCCGACACTAGTGCAATGTGCATTCTCTTCGAGACCGCTGGGGATATTACAATGTCATACAATACCGTACCCTTGGAGAATCCAAAGACCCCAGTGAACAGCACCGACCAGCCAAATGCTGAGGCTTGTTTTCGCATGGACTTGGCGTCGAATCCAGTTACTGCGGATCCATGGAACACGCTGGTTCCGAAGACTAAACCAGACTTAGACACTCTGGTAACCTTATACCGACTTATACCCTAGAAAGTCCAAAGACGATTGTTGGCGTTGAAGTAAAGGACACTCCTTTTCCGGGTCACCCTAAAGACTATTTTCGAAACATCAGTCTTGGAGTTCCACTGTATAGTATTAAACCGGATCATAAATCACTGAAATCCACTGAGTAGGAAGACTCACAGCGTGGGATCAACCGCCCCGTTCTGACGCCCCGGGCCGCGAGGCAACCGAATTGCTCCTCCAAACGACCGGAGCGCAGCGCCACGACCGGAACGGTCTCCCATCCGGTCACACTTGAGCCACTGAGTGAACATGGGAAACAAAGATTCAGACCGCCTCTCAAGGGGGAATATCTTGGAAAGACCCCAAGGGACCGGAGCACCCTTCTTCGACCGTGGGACCAAGTAGGCGACCGAATAGGCTCTCCGTTTTGGGGGGCCCCGGAGGTCTCGAATTTGGGGGTTCTGGACTCGTCAGGGTGGATCCAAACCTCGAAAGAGGTCGGTATCGAGTTGATGACAACCAATTGAACAGAAGTAGGAACACTCCGGATGACTTTGAAGTCCATCCTACCTTTTTTGCGGTTCCAATTGAACATGAGAGACCAAAAAAGGTAGGATCAGAAGGAATCATCGCAGAAAAGACCACGGAACTCAAAGGCCAGAAGCACTTCCTTGTTCCTCCAAAAGAACCACACCTAGCACCCCCTTCGACCTGCTGTTCCACACACGTCGCCGTCTCTCCGCGGACCCGGGAGCCTTGATGACCTCCGAGCCCAAGAGTTCCAACGTCTTGGCTTTAAAGACCTCGCGGAACGGCTCGCCATGGGGAGACGAAGAGAGAAACACATGGCCTGGCCCGTTCTGTTCGCACCGTCGGTTTCGATGCAGAACATAAGCATGAGGCGCGGTTCGAGAGTTCGAGCATCCTCCTCTTCCATGATTCTTGTTTCTTCCATGTGCCCAAGATAGATGCGCAGAACCTTGGATGATGTCAGGTGGCTCAATGAATGACTGGCATCATTGAAATTCCGACCTCACCATTTGCTGAACAGTTCTAGCATGTTTGCCAGGCAGCGAGCCGGCGGAAACTTGTCTGGATGATGGTTCTATCATGAAAGTGGTCCCAAACCAACACCAACACCTCACCCGTCCCTCGGTCTCCTTGGGCGCTTCCAAGGCCATGGACACCCCTCCACGACGCAGCTTCCACTGCGGTTCGGCTCGACAGGGTTCACCCTGGATGTTCTCGTTCCACCAAGGCCATGAGGCCATGGACTTTCAGACAACCGTTCGTTCTCCAAAAAACCCATTTTGTGGAACCAAAGGGTTTCTTCAACCATCTTGCCCCCACTCACAGATCGGGAGACTCGTAGATCCACCCTCGCGGCGGTCTCCGGTCTCGTTTTCGAGGGTACGTTCGATGCGTCGGTTCTTCAAGTCCAACTGTCCGTTCTTCATCTCCTCTTCTGTTCCTCCTTTTTCAAAGTGGGCAACATCGCTCTTAGGTTGGAAGCCATTGCTAGTAGGTTGGATGATGGCCATCTCTTTTGTTGAAACAAAGAACAAAGGAAACGAAGAATGCCTTGAAAAAACATGGGACCGTCCACCTTTCCACCACGAAGACCGAGACGGATGCGCCAAGACACGTTGAGCTGTCGATCCGCGTCGCCGCAGTAGACATACTCGCCGCAAGGGGAGAAGGAGACCTTGTGGGTTTTGGGCGTTTGGAGCGCAGCACTTCCACGGGAAACCAGAGTGTTTTGGACACCAACCTTAGGGGATGAGTACTGTGAAGCCTATCCTACTGGAACTGAAGCCCTGCAAAACTAACACGTGCTCGGCTGAGCAAACGTAGTTTGTGGAGGAAATAATGAAACTGCCAAACATTCCCACTAACTATATTCCACAAAAACCATGCCTGTCTTCCCCCAAATGCCATGGCTTTAGGGTTTCTGCCAACGGCGAGGTGAAACAGTTGCAGCTGCGAGATTTTCCCGTGAGTTCTTTCTGGCAAAACAGAGGCTGGCCATGGTAGCCGTGGCTGCGCCGTCTGCCCTGCACAGCCTTGTGCGGGCCTCATCCTGGTTTGTGTGTCCTGCTTGGCTGCGCTGTGGGCCCTGTCGAGGCTTTTGCAGCTTCATGAATGGTCTTCAGGGTCTCCCATACCATGTGGAGTTGGTAGATGTTGGTAGATTCTGCTAACCCTTTTGCTTTTGCAAACATTTGTTTTCAGGTGTTGGGGTTGAACCCCCGAACGCAAGTGGCCTCCCCTCGTCTCCCCCACCGGTCTGTCCGCCCCACACAAACAATCTCGCTCTCCAGGTGGACGTCCGTTGTCCGGGTGAGGCCTGGGGCGGAGGCCACGGCCGGCGCATGGGGTATGGAGCACGGAGAACGAAGAAGAGCGCTGTTGATCTGTTTGGTTTTAGAGGCCATTCTTTAAACACAAGTGTTGTTATTGATTCTTTATGAGTGTTGCGTGTTCTACTGCGTGTTCTTTCTTCCCAAGTAGGCACCAAGCACTGGGACTCCCTTTTTTCACAGGCATTTTGTAGTCACTGCGGAGAATCTTGACCTTTCATGGCCCACCGGATAGCCAAATGTCTTCCTTCAACATCTGAAAAGAATTGGATTTAGGTGTGGGCGTCCAGGTCAGGTGATTTGGTGCCGGTGCAAGACAAGGGTAGAAGTCAAAACAATCGCCCATAAAAGCTGAACATCCGACAATGACGATCCGACAGTCGAACCATGACCCAACTTGCAAGCCATTGGCCAGTCAGGACATGCGCAACCCAATTCCATGAACACTTCCGTAAAGAGACCAATGGATAGCACATGCGTGATTTTGGATACACTGAGACACACCTTCTTTCCACCAACCAGCCAACAAGGTTTACACAAAACTCTTGCATCTTCAAAAAGAAGCCAAGTTGAAACGTCTCCTAGACTCCTGGTGCTCCTAGTTCTTCCTTTCGACCATCTCGTTGGCCGCTGTTTGAACAATCATGCGGGTTTATAGCCACCTGGATCACCAAAGGATTCCTGGTAGGATCGGAACCTGCACTGCGAGAGAAGTGCCTGGTGGAATGCTTGTGGATGCATCTAACCCGGCTTGGCCTAGGAAGTTGGTTGCTTAGATTTAGATGGGTCTCTCGAATCCTTAAACCAACTTGTCTTCTCCACGAATACTTCCTAAGAATTGACCGTTTCTGCTACTCTCCCGTCTAAACCACCAAATGGTTGCAGTTCGACCAAATCTTTGGTGTTCAGCAAACTTATACTGACCGTTCGGCCTCATTGAAGTGGGAGCTTGGGGAGCCCTTTGCAATTGGTGGCTCATGTTCTTTAAATCTCTATCTTTCCCATCAAAACACACAGAAACACACACACACACATACAACCCTCGCAATGCTTCAGTTCAACAGCTTCGAATCGCCGTTCTTCCGATAAAGGACCTTCGTCCCGTCCCGTCCCGTTCGGTTCACCCCCCCACCGGATCGCACCTTCGACGTCCCAGAGCGCCAGGTGCTGGTCGTAGCCACCGGCCACCAGGGAGGAGCCGAAGAAGGAAAGGCTGCAAACCTGGAGGCGTCGTCACCACGGTGGCGCCGGTCGTCACCAGCTCAGGACGTGAGGAGGAGGAGGAGGAGGAGTTGACTTCCCAAAATTTTTAGAGCTGGACCGGACATGGAATATGGAAAGCGCTCTTCTTCTTTTTTTTGTTGTCACTTGTGGAATTTAGGGCTTTTGACCCCGGTGTGAGAGAGAGTTCATCAATTCATCAGCAAACCGTCCACGTTGATGACTTTTGGGCCTTCAGGGCGTGGCGTTCTTCCCAGTCTACGGCTCAAGCGCCACACGAGCGTGGGTGGGTCCGCCGCACATGTAAAGTGCCTTCCGTGGCCTTCCATTCCAGGGAATGACCAAGTGAAGCACGGACTCTCCTTCTTCCACCGGCTGCTTGATCCATTGGAGATGAAAGGAAACTCGGAACGTTTCAATTGCAATCTCAAACACTTCGTCTCGAACCTTTACTCTCAGTTGGTGCCAGGTGCAGCACGACTTGTCGATCTGCTAGCGATCTTCACCACACCAACAAATTCGAGGTTGTAAGTGGTATGGGTTTCAATCGCACGACCCTTCTTTCTTGTGCTACCCACTTCGTGTGCTACCCACACGACCCCCCGTAGCCAAAAGATCGCCCGAGTCTCCAAGCTGATGAGGAAGCTCTGAGTCTCCAAGTCACCAACCGGTGGAAGAACTGGTGGAAGACTTTCCATTGGGACCACTATCCATTCATCCTGATCTATAGGACCACACCCTGATGATGAAGAACCCACGTCACACTTCCCATGGCGACACTCTCATTTAACTCTCTGTTCTTGAGTATTCTTTTGGGGTTCGGATCCAGATCTAAGCTGCCCTTTGACCGAAATGGGAGGTGATGCTCCCAGCCCCCACTTGGACCAACTCGACCGGGGGGCCTCATCCGCATGCTTCAGCTTGATCGGCACACCCTCCGGACCTGGAGCCCGCGTGCGCCGCAACGCGCTCTGTTGGACCCTCCCTGAGGTTAAGAGCCAAGCAGAGATGCCCTGGTGGCACGTTTAGTGGCATTCGGAATGCATCATTTTTCTTAGGTCTGATCTGCTTTGGGGTCTTTTTGGGAGATCGTGGCACGACTCTGCAGGCAGGCATGCACCGGCAGGTGCTCGGCCTCCAGCGTAGGAACCCCAAAATCTGGTGTTTCGGTTTCTCACGTGGAAGGAGTTGGAGTGATGCAGCAGAACTCCGAATGAAGAGCCAAAAGAGTTCACGCTGCTACCCTGCACTTTGCCTGAGTGACGTACTTTGCACAAATGCAGGATATGGACATACCCATTGCCTTCACCATCGTATCGCCAGGCTTAGCCTGAAAAACGCGACCGTGCGATAAACCTTTACTAAACACCCTCCGGGTCGCCGTTGGAGATCAAGTTCACAGTGGTAGTAATCAAGTCATGCAAACAAGTGAATTTGCTGGTCAAGCCCAGGTGGAAGATGGTGAGAACAGCTTTTTCGACGCACCGCAGAGGTTCCCCACCTGCCGCGGGATCTGAAGTCATAGAGATGCGTTTCTTGAGGGAGCAAACATGTTCCGTAAGCAATGGAAAACCGACGCCAAACGGATCAGTAGACGCTCAAACCGCGAAACATCGCGGAACTTCTGCCCAACTCTTGGGCCTGTGGATCCGCAAACCCTCATAAATGGTGTAATTCATAGATGGATATAGGATGAGTTGATGAACTTCAAGATCTTTCCAGTAAAACTCCTGTTCTAGTTGCGGGTGGTGCTTTCCTTCTCCTTTGCGCACTTCAGGGTCTTTCAGTTTCACCGCATGCTGGGGCTCTCCGACGCTTGGTGATCTGGATCTTGCTCCTCAGTCCAAGTCACCGAGCATCGTGATCGGTTCTTTTCCTCCATGGCGACACTGCGTGGGGATGTGTCCTGTTTGAAACCGTGAACCTTGTCTGTTCCACTTGCATGGACATGACCTAGTGATATGCAAGGGTCCCCAAACTGCTACTCCACCTGATTAGTTTGAAAGCAAGTGGAAACTGGCCATGAACACATCCTCTTGCAGCAAAAAACTACTCGCGCATCCCTCCGCCCAACAGGTCTTGGCTCTGAGTTGGCGAGGTTGGCTCTCACAAGAACCAAACCCGATAAGGCCGATGTTGGTGTTTGATGATCACCCCCAACCTGAGGATGATGATGGCTTGATATTTTGACATAGAAACACCCAAAAGATAGAACCCCCAAATAGCCCCCTGGATTTTTTTTGATGATGGCTTAATTCTTAGATTTCTTGAGCAACCAAAATAACCACCAAATATCACCCGGTTTTGTTGATGATGGCTTGATATCTAGGATAACTTATGATGGTTTGACTCTCGAAATAACCTCCGTTGCGTTTGATGATGGTTACGGTGACCAACGGCTGATCGATGGCTTTCCCTCCACTCCTTCGTTCGGAGTTTGCAGCACACGACAAACACCCACGAACGGTTTCACCAATGTGGGGCATCCGAAGAAAGGGGTGAAGTAATTCAGACCTCTTTCAAAACCTTAGCAATTCATTTCTTGTCCATCACCAGCACAACAAGACATGTGCCATCGCAGCATTGATTTTGGCAACTTTTCTTAGCCCCATGACCCCATCTTCGGATCATTTTGTTAGCTTCCTGATTCTTTTGCGTCTCTTTCCATCCCAAAAGCACCCCAAAAACCACACCCACCAGGGCCCCAAACACCTTCTCTCCGCGTCCGCACCCGGAAAAAAGAAAGGAGCGACCTCCTCCACCGACTGGGTCTCCCAGACTGGATGGCCGGATCAAGGCCCAGATCCCGCGCCAGCAGCATGCGCTTCCGCAAGGCCGCCGCCTCCGGGTCCTGGCGCCGTGTTTTTAGCAGCATCCGCTTCGGAGCGGGAGCAGTATTTCGGGAGACCGTGGCAGAAGTGGGGGAGTGTTTTTTTTTGGGGGGGGGACGCCAGGAGGAATCCCATCAGGAGCGATGAATTGCATGTTTTCCTCAACAAGGCCCAACAAGGCTCAACAACTCCTGTTGTTTTTTGGGTTTGAGCAGGTCAGCATCGAGATGAATCACAGCAAGTCAGTTGGAGACCTTGCTCAACTCAGCATGGATCTGTTTCATCCCTTTCCCCCAGAAGCTGGATAATCGAAGGCCACCCCAGCACCTTGGCTCGCAGTCAAAAACGAGATCATCTGTTGTATCACTCTCAAACCGAATGGCTACATCATCCGCCCAGATTGGGATTGATGGCAGACCAAGCATCTTTTGCTCCCAAACCATTTTCCGTATAGAAACCCAAATGATTTACCTTTGAGTGGACCCAAAACGGCTGAAGGAAGTGCATCCGTGATTTCTTCTTAAGCTTGGAATCTTACTGCCATCAACGACCCGTCTGGGAGGATGTTTCTGAGTTATAATGGACATCATGACATAGATGCAGATGACTGCTCACAGCATACTCCGGTGGATATTTTTGCAACACATGTTCCAACATCTTGTTGTTACCTTGTGATTTCTTGCGGTGTGCGTAACCGTCATGGAGCTCGGACACCACACGGGCAAGGGCATTCATTGAACCCGTCCTCAAGCGCTCAAGTCGAAAAAAGACCATGATTCACATGGAGTCTCCGATGGTTTTTCTTCTGTCTTGGACACCAAAAATCAGATCAAGCGCTCAAAGTTGAAAGACACTTCAAACCTTGGATCAACTCGGAGAACCTCAATGAAACCGTCCAATTGGGACCTCTTGCGCCCTATCCAGGTGGCCGAAGAAGCAGTGGCAACCACTCACTTGGGCCCCACGTGGGTCTCGGCCTCGTCCTTCTCACCGGGCGTGGTACATCTCGAGCCGCCGCCCTGGAGTCTTGGTCCATTTGCATTCGACCAGACAGAACGCTTCGGTTGTAGAGGGAAAGAAGCCGTTCTATCTTCCAGTCTGGAGAGCACGCCATCAGTTCCTTTTTATATGTGGATCTCAAACACCGACGGGGGTGTTATTGTGCTGGGTAATTGCTCTGGATGTGAGATCCTTGGGAAATGGCTGTCCGGCGTGCGAAGAAAACACTTCCTCCCCAAAGCTTCGGAGGCCGGGCTGAAGGTTTTGATGCCTTTTGCAGGAAGAAACACGTTACTTTTTGCCATGACCAAAGGCCGAAATAGGTTGATTTAGTGGTTGTAACGGGCGGATTTCCCATATGGATTTTTGGTTTTAACGGGTGGACTTCCTTTGAAAGGGTATTTTCTAAAGACGTTTGTCAAAAACTGTTTTTTGCTGGCACCATTGGCACGGACGAACGTGGATGAACCGAATGCCACCGCAACTGTGGTGGCCGTCCTTTGGTGTATCAAAGACTGAGCAACCCCCAACAAACCGTAAGACAATTAGATGTGGAGGGGTCTTCCCACAGCAATTCTCCATGTTCGAGTGCATTAAAAACACACCCCGCTATGTTTGTTGTGTACTTGGCACAAAGAACTGATGGGTTTTGCAGGCCTTTCTTGTGGGTCTCCACTTAGATTAGGCCTGCGCTTAAACGACGTCACCTGGTGTGCGGATGAGGGCGATTTCATTCTACAAAAGAGCTAAAACACCTGCTTGCTCCGCTCAAAGCTCGTGGTTCAAATCAGCCAGATATCCTTGTCGGCAGAACCATGTAGATCACAACCCTTGCCAAAACTCAGAGTGGCATCTCAACAAAAACCATCATTTGATTGGACAAATCCCAGGAACTGCTACTCTTCCAGTTGTTTGATCTCCTTCCTCTTCGAAGTTCAGGGTCCTCACGTCACACCCCTCGCAACCCACCCCAGCGCCCCCCCCGGTGCAGCGGTGCCTGTGACGTGTCGGTGACGGAGATCCGCGGCTTCAGCAGCCACGGCGGCTGTTGCAACAGGTCACCTGGCCGGTCGGAGTTACCGGCTCGGCCGGTGGGTTGATGGGAAAATGATGGGAGGACCTATAAGAGGATGGGGGATGATGGGTCTCTGAAAAAACTGAAAGCCAAGTCGTTTTTGGTCGGCGAATGCGTAGCGAAAGTGTCTCGTTTCTCTCTGGGGGTTCTGGGGGAGGGGGCGCTGTTCGCGCTGCGTTGCTTCCGTGTTCGTGAGCGGTGCCAACGGTCCGCAACCGTTGGAATGGGATCCCTGCGGCAGGCCGAAGGGGGAGGAAGTCTCAGATTCGAATGAAATAGCGTGGAAACGAAACATGTGGACGTGTGGAGGATGTTGTTTCTGCGTGCGTGAGATCCTCAGTCCATCTACCCTGCCTGCTACAGTTACCTCATCGAAGGTGATGCGGCGGAGCCAAGGCAACAACACGCCCATCAACACGGGTGCACGATGGACGCCAGCCTGGCAATGCACAAGCACATTGAAGCCCCCTGCCAATGTAGCAATGACAGCCTGCGTCACCTCCTGGAGCGATTGGTCTCGCTTGGCCCCTTGATAGGAAACGGGGCAAGCCAGCTGGAAGAAGTCGCGGTGAGTAACACCCCCAGGGAAGTCGTGAGCAACCTTGTCCAGGCTTGGTGACAGCAGGCATGTTGACGATGAATGGTGCCCACTTCAGCTCTTGTCATTGCCATTGCCATGTGCTTTTGACGGCTCCGGCTCCAAGCGAGACTGAGACTGAGACTCCTGCGAATGCTGCGATAATGCATTTGATGTGATGTGTAGAAGCATTGCGCCCAACACTTCTACGTGCATGGCGTTGCCTGCCTGCCCAATCCGCGCTATGCGTTCTTTGTCTGGTTGAACTTCGCTGCTGTCCATTGATGCGAGTGCCTCAAAATCTTCTGCAAACCTCATATGCCATCCCATAAGAAAGATCATTGTGGGCCGGAAGGCCTTGGCACAAAAAGAGCTTCACAGGATGTGAGCCATTGTTGATGCACGTCTGACCTCAGTCAGTTTCCTTTGCTGTGCAGTTGGGATTGGCTCGCAGGGTGGTCTGTTGGAGGTGTTGGATATCGCTATGACATTGGGATTCGGTTTTCAGGCCGCTGCTGCCGCACTGGTGCTGGTCCAGGGAGCGCATCATGTCATGCCCAGAATGACAGCGAGGGATAACATCATGTCAACCCCAGGGATGACATCATGTCATGCCAGGAGTGACATGCTGTCATATTGTTGACAACATGTTGTGCAGCAGTGATCATAATGTCGTCTGGGCAGCTTTGGCTGGTCCTTGCCGATCTTGCAGGGTTGGGCAAGCGTGGCATTCAGCTGATAGATGTTGCGCATATTGGTGGACTGGTCTGATGTTGCGTGCTGCGGTGACAGCCGTCCGTGGCGTGTCCTTTAAACCTATACCCCGGCTATCTGGGGTTTATGCCAGTATGCCAGTGTAACTTTCATTTCTAGCGCAGAGTTTTTTACCACCTAGAAGAGCATGGAGGTTTTTGACATGGACACTCGCTGACATTTGCGTTGAAATTATTCGCGTGCAACACGGATGTCGAAACAAGGATTTCCAAAGCAACTTCAAAACTTCGACGTGCTCTGGCAATGCTGAAAACACCGCTTGCAAGCAAAGGGTATTGGCCGGAAGCTCTCCGATGACCATCAACTTGCCTACTTCCAACAACAACACGTACGCCAAAGTTGGGACATGGACACTCGTTGACGGTCAGAACTGTAAATGGGTGGGGTGGGGCGGGGTGGGGCCAACATCCACTCCTTGACGTCTACATCCCTTCGGTCTCGTTCCATCGTAATCTCGCTGCGCCGAGTCGTTTTTTCTCGGCCATGGGTGGCCGAGTCGTTTGGTGGGCGCGCTCGGTTTGTCGTTTGAGTTGTTGCGAGTAGGCAAGTTTGCGGACATCGGAGAGCTTCCGGCCAATCTAAAGAATAGGTGTTTGGTGGATGTGTTTTACGTGGATCGAATTGTTTGTGCAAATTTGTTCCGGAGACCCTTTGGTGGCAAGCAACCCTTTGTGCAGGTGGTGCTTGACGAGGATCGTTGGCCTGAGATGTTTGCAGCGTGGTAAGAGCAGATAGAAGAGCTTTTAAAGGTATTGGGAAAGCCATTGGCCCAATTACCTTACAGCGGTGTGGCTTAGGCGACCGCCCGTCAGAGATAAAGGTATTGGAAACACTTCAAACTCGACTTTTGAGCTAGCGCCTTGGCAAACAGATGGTGCCTGGGTAGACGCAATCATGCAACCAACTCCTACCTACCACAGCTAGCGCCTTGGCAGGCCCAATGATGCAATCAATTCTTACGTACTGTCACTAGCGCCAGGGTAGACTTAGATGCATCTCTGTCCTGCGTGTGCGTGACCAGGAGATGCAACAGCGTCAAACTCACCCAGGGATTCCACCTGGTATGATGCAAATGTATTCGAGGACAGTTTCCACGCCAAATCTTCAAACTCTATCTCTTTCTTGGCAGTAGGCGCCATTGTGGGCAACAGGGCTTGAAGGGTGTCCGCATTGAAGCCCCGGTACGATCCGCCCAGGCGACCGGCCAATTTCCGCCAGTCCCGGGGTTGAGTCGAAGCCAGCAAAGCAAACTCTTGCGTGAAGAAGTCGGCAACATCTCGACCACAAACTGTATCGCAGTGCCAGATGTTTCGAACAAATCCGGGCAACAAACCTCTGATCAAGCGTTTCTCCTGACGCCTGCTGAGAGCGTCATATGATATGGTACAGTTGCCGCAACGCATCACTCACATCATTGAAAGGGCTTTTTGCCAATTCCACTGCCGTGTCTACTTCAAAGTGCTTCTAACGTAATCACCGCTCCGAACATCCATTATTGAATTCCACAAACAAACATTCTACCTCTCACAGCAAAAAGGAGACAGCGACCACAGCTGCAATAAACCCCTTCATTCAAAGGAGTCGAAAGGGTTGGAGAAAGGGTCGAACATGGACGTTTTTAGAATGGAAGGCTGAGTGAAATGGTGCAACATTTGGATTGACCAGCCATTTCTTCGAGATAGTATGTGATTTGCCTTCTAATGTCTTCTACCTTCTTTTTTTGAAGGGTAATATTTTTCCAGCACCTGGGAAGAAGTCCTCATTTTTGTTCACAAAGAACTCTATAAGATGCAGCTTCCTTCACATCTCGTCAACTTCCTTCGAACATCAAGCGCCGGCTCGTGCCTTCGCCCGGATGGATTGGAATGTATGCCTCGGCTGGACCGTGATAGCGAGGCGCTGAATGCGATGCGATGGATGCTTCATCACAGGCGACGAAGAAGGTCGGTACAGTTCCCTTCAGGAAAGCACATAAATTCTAGTTGTAAAAGGTGGAAATGCCTTGTGGATCTGCTTCTTTGGTGCGCGCAGATCAACAAACAACCGTCATTCATGCCCCTGCATCTGCATATTTCTCTGTCACGGGGGTCGGGTCGGTACCGTTGAATGACTATATCTTGAAGATGGTCAAAGGGCAAACAATATGAATGAACTACTACGTCGCCAATATGTGCCGATGCAAGATGAAGTATCAGAACCACAAATACATGCAGAAGCCTGAGACATTGCTTTTTTCCAAAGGATTCTGTGTATGGATGGGTGCGCTAGAGTGATTGGCTTTGGGCTCTTCAACATGTTCACCACAATAAGGGGGTCGTGGCACTCTTCATCAGTGCCTCAGATCTTCATAAGCTTTACCAACTGCCGAACCCAATGTGACAATGGAGTTCGTGATCAACATCAGCCCGCAGCAAACCAACCTGATGCGGCCCATAGCCGAAGGAAAACATGGTCACAACCTTCACCGCCGAGTTATAGTTATCTTTGCATTGTACGGATCGCTAGAAACCCTTATAGTTCGATTCTCTAGAACCCATGTAGCATCATATCACCCCACCCAACCCGAACTCAGCCGCACACGGACTCATCGACGCTGCCTTCTCCCACCTGCGGTCCAAGCACTGTGCGGTGTGGGACGGACCGATTGCGCGAGACGTCTTGTTGTGTCGAGACGAAAGAAGAGACGTCTCAGTGTGCGATCGTCCATTGATTGATCAACAAACAAATGACGTCTTGTTTGAACTGCCTCTTTTTGACGATCAATTTGCGACAAACCTTTCAACTTCAAGTGGCAAGGGGCATCCAGTGGTGGCCTCGTGAGTAGGGCGGAAGCATACTTGGTGGAAGAACTGACCAAGAACCACTGGTCCATCTGTGGTAGAGGACATCTTCCTACTCCACGAGAACTGTAGAGGTGTTCATCACAGTCATGCCTGTACACCAGACCCTTTTGCACACATTTGACTTCCCACTTTTCTTCGGACAACTAACGGCATAACCAACTAACTCATGCCAGATTGGTTTTCAGCATCCAAACAACTCAAATCCCTTGGGCGCTCTTTGCGCGCTCCGATCCAGAACTGCTTGGCGCACCGGTCGCCCGGGCCTTGGTGTCGGAGGGCAGCGACTTGGACTTGCTCAAGCTCCGCCGGGCTTCCAGCCGCGCGGAGGAATCCTCGCCCCCTGGCGGAGAGGACCGGAGGACGGGAGCGGAAGGACGTCCATGGACTGAGAGAGAGGGCTAGGCTTTGGGTACAATTAACCCCCAGGTTCAAACGAAGAGGTTGAAGATACCAACATGGGCCTTAGGGGCTATCTATCTTGAACCAATGAATTAAGAAGCTACCAACATCTACCAACTGACCAGTGGGGCCAGTGGGGAAAAATACAAACCAGAGGCCACGGCGTTTTTCGTCACCGTGGCTTTGAGTCAAAAATGAAGTCCAAAACGCGAGTCACCCGGACGATTCAGGGAAAACCCGTGGCAAAAGGTGATGGGGTTACATGATGCACAGGCCTGTCGTATGACATCACAGGCCTGTCACACGGATGTTGTCTTGACTTCGAGTTGTCTTTCAGACTTCCAGGTGCCGACACTGAAGACAGGCCACCTTCATAAGTGGTGTCATCATAAGTGGTCATAGGTGCCTTGTTTGACCACTTATGTTTTGAATCAACACGACCCTCTCGACACTCGGTCTCTGTCATCAAACCCTGAACTGCAGATCTTGGACGACCACGGTGTCGAGTTCTCACCACGTGTCCACGTACGTGTCTACACGGTGGATCTTGACCGGGATCACCGTGGATCCCTTCTCGGACGAGTTCTCCAGCACGGAACCCGGAACCGGTGCCTTCACCTATCTAGGCCCTATCGTTCTTTCGGAACTGTGCCCCCCCCGGAGTGAGCCACACCTCTTGCGAAGGTGCCACGACTCTTGGCTTCTTAGGCTTCTTTCTCACAAGAAGACTCAGGTGAACCACTCTTCAGACTCTTCAACTCTTTCTTGTCAGTCTAACATACCTCCCCTCATCACGGATGTCGTCGATGAAGTGTCTGGTGCTCGAAGGCGTTTCTCCATTTGTTTGCCCGCCACACCGCCCAAAACGATCACCAGCGAATTTGAGATTCGCCACATCTTCCTCAACCTAAAATGAACGTCACATCTTGCCGAATGCATTGTGTGCTGAAACTGCAAAACCATCATATGTCCCCAAATAGTTCCCCCTGGTCGGAAGGTCTTCCCAGCGCTTCCTCACCATGCCCCAAAGATAGAAAACGAGGTTGCTAGAAAACCTCTTCTTCATGTCGGTGTTGTCATAATGAACTGGCGTCTTCTCACTGCTTGACAGTCATTCCTTCTTTCACCCCAACCGTTGCTGATAGCCGACCTTTACCACGTTTTCCCTGTTAAACGGGGCATTTTTACAAAATCAAGTTTGTTTTTGTTCGCACATTAACATCATTTTGCTGCTTGATTAAGCCTCCACAGCATGACTTTGCCTTCGGTTCAAGTATCAAAGATCTGCATTCCAACGACACGGCGAATGACCAGAAAACCCGGATGACCCCCCGATCACTTGCCCCTTCACCACTGCGCTGGGGAGCTCGGCCCAGCTCTAAGTTGGAGCAACTGCCGGTGCTCCTCATGCTGCGACTCACCTCAGCGGCGACCGGGGCACGCGGTGAAACGGAGCGGTGAAACGGCGGTGATTTGGTGCTTTCTTTTCTGTTGTGGTGGGGAATCCAGGTCTGAAAGAAATCAAGGGATCTTCAATACATGCCTGGTACATGGAACTGGTGAACACCAACGATGACAGGCTCTGCGAGGGCTATTCAGCTACCTCAAAAGCCATCGCTCTTCCACCTCGAGTGACCAGAACTTCACTCTGAGCGGCCTGTAGTCCCTCTTGAGCCGCCTGGCACCGCGGATTTGACCGGGGCGAAAGAGAAGTCTTGGGCCCATTGAGTGGGCCGGTGTCCCCAAAGAATTGGAACGCAAAAGGAGAATTCCCCGCACTTGTCACTATAGAATACCCACTGATTTCCGAACACCTAGTGGTTTGTGATACTGAACCTTGGTGGTTTTGGAAACCATTTATAGAAGGCATTCCTCTTCACATCACTATTATTGTTGCTTGGGGTGTGCAAAACTCAGTGCGGAGCACCCAAACTAAATCCACAAAAGGTTCGTTCATCGAGGAAGGTCTTTGAAGACATCTTTCGATGTTGGTGCCAAAACCCTTCGCCTCTTGGACGCTCCGCCACTTCCGCTCACTTCTTTTTCGCTCGCACGTCCCTACAGCACACGGCGTGGCACACGGCCGCATCCGAGTGCGGCTCTCCACTCCACGCGCGGAGTGTCTCGGTCAGCTCGCTTCGGTGGCCGGTCTGGTTCTCGAAGAAACCTGGAACGCGCCCAAAGCCAATTGTCGAATCGGTTGGTGAAGGCTTTGGATCGTTGGGATGCTGAAGATACCACCTTTCTATGTAGAGTGTCCTTGGGAGCAGCACGAGGTCACCTTGGGGACTCCTTTTGCTTTACAAGGTGTGGACGACCTCTACTTCCAAGAAGAAAACGCAGGATGTAAGGACTGCAACTTGGCAGGCCCTGTACCGTTTCCAAACTACCTCCTCAATGTCATGAGAATCACTCCCTCGTCTGGATATGTGACATTAATTGGTGTGACCGAACCATCACAAACAAAAAACATGAAGAGCAAGAGGCTCGCGAGGACCCTCCTTCTCCGAAGCATGCGGGCAGAATATGTAAAGCAAGAAGATATGAACTCCCAACGCCACTCACTGGTCCGTGCCTTGGCACCCCACCGCTGCAGCGTCCGTCAGCCCACGCGGCCGGGCGAAAACGCCGGTCGGCGTGTTCGGTGGAGCGCGTTCGGAGCACAGGGCTCCTGAGCGGGGTGTTGCGCGCGGGTGGACTCGGGGCCAAACTGTGAAGTCACAGAAACTTGGAAAGCAATTTTCCTAATTGGTTCGGGAGGAAACAAGTTCGAAACACATGCGTCGGCGATTGTGGGGACTTGTGTTGGGCGAGTGCAACGGACGTCATACCGAGTGAGCTTTGTCCACCGCCTGTCCCTTAGAAGACAAATCTCGAAGAGGATCATTTCAAAGGTCGACCACATCGAAGGCTACAGGAGCCGCGTCGCAATTGTGCTGTCACTTGAGGCTGTTTATGTTGACCCTCGCTCATGTAGAAAACCTGTAGGGACCCTCAATCAACACCCTTGGTCCATTTCTCCTTTTTGCCATTTTGCCCCGGTAGGTTTGGTAGGTTTGTCATACTCAGATCCGTGCCTGGCCGCTGCCTCGGCTGTTCGGGCGGTTGGCAGCAGGAAAAGGTCCACAAAGACCTGAGCGAAACGGGGCGGACATGGAGGGTCCGTGTTTGGGAGAAGCGTTGAGTTGACTGCGGACGTTTTGGTGCTTGAGTGGTTTCTTCCGACTGCATGTCGGGCAGAGTGGTTAGACGTGGATCAGTGGTAAGACTGCATGACGGTTGCTGAATGTTGGGGTTTCCTCACCTGTCGGTCCGCACAACGGAAATGGCAGGTTCTTGCATTTTAGCTTGTTCTTTGTTCTCCTGGATGGACTTCACAACATATTCAAGGAACCATCAACATCGAGTCAAAACCATCAACACGGTCCTCACAAGATTCATCAACAGTTTTTTTTTGCACACTTCCCTCCACACTTTTTGGCAGCCAGTCACCACTGCCAATGCAATGCGCTCTCCCAGGCAAGTGACATCCTCTGGCAGCCGCAGCATACGCAATGCGCAGCAGGCAAAGGTGCCGGAGTGGAGTTAGGTAAAGGCAATCACTGAGGTGAGCAATCGGCAGTGCCTCAGGTGATGTGGTTTTCACCACTTTTTGTGGTCTCGCTGTATTTCAACAACTTCTGTGGTACACGTCTTCCAAGGCACTTTCCGAGGTGCTCGAAGGCAGGAATTTGTTATCCCGGCTTTTATGGCAGGCAAACCGTCTTCGAAGTTGCTTGGTTCCTATTCAATTTGTTTGGCCGGAGAACTTTGAATGTCTTGGTAGCCTCTGGAATCAAAGCTAAGAGACAATCAAATATCACGCAGACCAAGTGCCAACAAAGGGACCGGGAGTAGCAAAACAATGCCCTGAAACTGGACTTTCCGTCGACACGTGATGAACTTCGTGGATCAAAGCGAATGCATAACCCTCCAAATTTGCCAACTCTCTGGGTCTGGCTGCCCCCCGACAAACCTACTTCCCGTAGTCTTTCGGTTTCTTTCTGTTGACACAAAACCTTTTGAGGCACATGAGGCCTACAAGATCCGGCAATGCCTTTGCCTGCTCGTCCCCCTCCGCACTTTTCACGCACCCTGAAGCAGCGTCGAGACTCCAATGAGAAGTGCCAAAGCTCCTCCAACACCTGCTTGGAGAAGCGCATCTACCACACTCTGGCGGCCTTGCCTGACTGCCAAATGCAGTGCTGTTTCACCATCCTCTGTCTTTGCTTCCTTGTCGGCACCTGCCTGGAGCAGCGCATCTACCACACTCTGCTGGCCTTGCTCGGCTGCCAAATGCAGTGCTGTATGGCCATACCTTGTCATTGCTTCCTTGTCGGCACCTGCCTGGAGCAGCGCATCTACC